AAGGGCTGCTTATGCACAGGGAGACAGCTCAGGGGGCAGGAGTGCATGGAGGGATGGACACAGGGAAGAGGTAACTATGGGGAGGAAGTGGGACGGGAGTTGTTGCATTGTGGTAAACTGTGGTCAATGTCATGAGACAAAGTATATATGAACCACTGTATGGAAGGTGAATTTGCTCTGTAAACCTTCACCCAAATCACAATAAAAATTAATTAATTAAAAAAAGAAGAAGAAGAAGATGGAAGGAATATACAGAGTTACTATACCAAAAAGAATTGGTCACTGTTCAACCATTTTGGGAGGTAGCTATGATCAAGAACCAATGGTATTGAAGAAGAAGTCCAAGTTCTACTAAAGGAATTGGTGAAAAACAAGGGCCTCAAAATTGACAGAATGCCCATTGAGATGTTCCTACAAATGGATGCATCACTGGAGACTCTTACTCATTTATGCCAAGAAATTTGGAAGATAGCTATCTGGCCAACTGACTAGAAGAGATTGATATTTGTGCCCATTTTAAAGAAAGGTGATCCAATGGAATGTAGATATTATCAAATAATACTAATATCACATACAAGTAAAATCTTGCTGAACTAAAAAAAAAAAAGAAAAACTCACTGCCATAGAGTCAGATCCAACTCATAGCAACTCCTTCTTGAGTTTCCAAGGTGATATCGCTACGGAAGTAGATTGACAGTGCAGCAGGGGAATTTTCAGAAATGCAAGCTGGATTCGGAGTAGGATGTGGAATGAGGAATTTCACTGCTGATCTCAGATATATATTGGCTAAAAGCAAAGAACACCAGAAAGATGTTTACTTGTGTTTTATTGACTGTGTAAAGGCATTTGACTGTGTGGATCATAGCAAATTGTGGAGAATAGTCAGACTTCATCTTGTTGTTGTTGTTGTTGTTATGTGCCATTGAGTCGGCCCCGACTCATAGCGACCCCTCCTTGGGTTTCCAAGGCAGTATCACTACGGAAGTAGGATTGCCCAACCTTCCTTACGAGGAGTGGCTAGTCTTAGAACAGACCATTTCCTGGAGAAGGATATCATGCTTGGTAAAGTAGAGGATCAGTGAAAGAGGAAACCCATCAACAAGATGAATTGACACTGTGGCTGCAACAAGGATTGCTCAAGGATTGTGAGAATGGCATACCGCCAAGCAGTGTTTCATTCTATTGTACATAGAGTCACTGTAAGTTGGAGCAGACTCAATGGCATCTAATAACAACACCCATATTGAGAGAAAGCATTGCTATTGAGTCTGAGGCTTGTCTCTTGAGAAGACTAGATTGTCTCTGGATGGGGGTTAGGAGATTGTACCGTGGCCATTAGAGACTAATAAATGTTCTTATTCAGCTACCACCTAATATTCACCAGGGAAACACAAAAATGTAGATAGCTCTGTCATAAAAAGATTATCATATCTTTGTTACATCATCAGGCTAATTAATGGAAACTATTCAATATTCATTTATTTTGTAATTTAAAAATTTCTTTCAACACTCATCTGACTAGAGTTATTTTGATATGAAAATAAGAGCGTTTCCATCCTGACTCAATGTAGGAAAATGATAAAGTTTATGACTTCTCGGCAGGGAGCACAGCACTGGAGTTTCACACACCATTTTGGATTTCCATGATATCAAGGAATGCAAACACTGGGATAAAAGTTGTGGTACCATAATACAGTCTGTGAATATACAGTTGGTCATTACATCAAGGAAGTCAAAACACTTAGCAAATAAACCTTCCCCCTGCCAAAATAAGTAGTATTCACTTATAGAATAAGCTTTTTGATAAATGAGAGAATATCTCTATCTCTCTGGTTTGTCTATTTTAAATAAAGTAATAACAAATGAAAGTATGCAAGTGTAGTATTTAAGTCAGTGCATAAGACATAGTACAAGCAGTTCAATAAGACTCAGGGTTTTCATAGCAAGGAAAGAATTTTATGCAGTTTTATTTATTAGTTAGTTATGGAAATCAAAGTATATCTGTTTCTTAACGTTATCTTTTATTTTCCAAGTATTTTAATTATGTTCCAAACTAAAATTATTATACAATAAAAGCAAAATATATTAATTAATGGATGTATACCCAGAGTCTACCAACTCTGGTGCCCATAAATATCTTAGTAAAATTGTCTTATATATTTGTTGCTAAATCATGTTTTTTAAATAAATGAATGTGCCAGAAAGAGGAGATAGCAGAGGAAAAATAAATCATATTCAATTTATTGTCCAGATTTGCCCCTCCCTAGTACCCTCATGAATGCTCTGGCCACATCTTTGTTGCGAAGGCTGTAGATCAAAGGGTTGAGCATAGGGGTGAGGATGGTATAGAAGGCTGATACCATCTTGTCCTGAGTTGGGGACCGATTAGAAGTGGGTCGCATATATATGAATACTGCCGCTCCATAATACATGCCAACAATGATAAGGTGTGAAGTACAAGTTGTGAAAGTCTTGTGCTGGCTTTCCTTAGAGCTCATTCGAATGACAGCCATAATTACACAAGTATAGGAGGCAATGATGAGTAATAACGGCAAGAGAAGCATTAATATACAACAGATAAAAACAAGTGTTTCAAAAGTTGAAGTATCAGTGCATGAGAGACTTAGAAGTGCAGACACATCACAGAAGAACTGAGGTATTTCTCGGGAGCCACAATATGAGAAGAACAAAGTAGCTGCTACATCAACTATTCCATCAAGGGAGCCAAGGATCCAGGAAGAGGCAACCATAAGTCCACAGATTTTCTGGCTCATGAGATTGGGGTATCGAAGAGGGTAACAAATGGCAACATAGCGGTCATAGGCCATGACAGTCAGTAAGAAGCATTCAGCACCCAAAAGGGACACATAGAAAAATATCTGGGCTTCACAGCCTGCTACTGAAATGGAATTCCATCCAGACAAGTAGTTGTAGGCCATTTTGGGTACAGTGGTGCAGATAAGCATGAGGTCCATGAGGGAGAGTTGGCTGAGGAGGAAATACATGGGGGTATGGAGCTGGGTATCCAGGTAGATGAGGAGAACCATGGTAGTGTTCCCCAAGAGGGCCACTGTGAAGATGCCCAAGACCAGAGAGAAGAAGAACATATGGCTAGGTGTGTGACTGAAGATTCCCAGAAGGATGAAGTCAGGGCTAAATGTCTGATTCTCCAATACCATGATGAATGGTTTATCTAGAACCATAAGAAGTTATAAAATTTCACATGTGATGAGTTGTTTATTCATTATCTACTCTATGCACGGTACTCTAGTAAGCTAACTTACATGATACGACCAGAACTGTATAAAAGAATGAGCAAAGAAGTTACAGGCAGTCAGCATTAATCATAACCAAGTTCCACTCTACCAACTTTCATATCCTCTGACAAGTGATTTCCATATGCTTCATTTTACTTGCTTATCAAGATAGAATTAACTTTTTAATTGAGTTATTGTAATTACTAAATGAAGTATCAATAGTAAACCATAGCATCTGAGACAGAACATCTGATTCTTCCAGGAACATATAATCTACTATTAGATACTAGTACATTTATAAATGTATTATACATCAGAATGGAACGTGTTCTACAACAGAGGAATAAAGCATTTGGAATGTCACTGCCTGTATAATAAAATAATTGTTACTAATAATCTGTTGTTTTCAAAGATTAACTATGGATTCATATCATTTTATTTGTACAAATTAATGGAGACTAGTCAGGACTACTCATTATAAAATTACATAGATTATGAGCCGTAAGTTCAGAATAATTGTTAATCACAAATCATGTGTGGATTATTATAGGCAATAACTTTTTTATTGTACTTTGCATTATTGACCCCATAGATACTGCATTTTTACAAATTAAAAGCTTGTGGTAACCTTGCATGGAGCAAGTCTATTGGCACCATTTTTCTAACAGCCTGTGCTCATTTCATGTTTCTGTGCCACATTTTGGTACTTCTCATAACACTTTGAACTTCAATAATGCTATTGCACATGCAATAGGCTACAATATAGTGTGAACATAACTTTTATATGCACCAGGAAACCAAAAAAATCCATGTGATTTGCTCTATTGCCAAACTTGCCTTATAGGGGCTCTAGAAGTGAACCAGCAAATCTCTGAAATATGCCTGTAATAGGTGATTTAATTATAGGTAAGATATAAAAATTATCTTTTTATGTCTCAGTTAGAGGATGGTAGTATCTTGATATCTCATACACACAAAAGATATAAAGAAGAGACTTCCAGTAAGATGGAGGTATAGGCAGACAAGTGACACAGACCCTCTTCAACAGAGAAAGGAAAAACCAGTTGACAAAGATGTAGAAGATAATCCTGGAGCCCTGAACTTTGAAAGGAACTATACAGAAGTGGATTAGGCACCCACTAGTGGAAAAATCTGAACGAATATAATTAGTACAGAGACTGTTGGAGCTGCGGACTGTCGGCTACTCTGACGGGACCAACAGCCTGAATATTTCCAAGTGGTGTTGGGACTTGAGAATTGGCCTAAAGATCAGCCCTGGTCACAAAGGGCTGCAGGGACGACTGCACTGGTGGCCTATGACTAAGAAGGGAAACAGGAAGGAGGGAGACCTGAGCTGATGACTTTCCATTGTCCGGAGGGCACAGCCATTTTGATTGTTTACACATGATAGCCTTTTGGATATTTAAAGTGACCAAGGGAACAGCCATTTTTAATCTTTACAAGCAGCAGCCATTTTGGATATTTAAAGTGACCAAGGGTGCAGCCATTTTGAATCTTTACAAGTGGCAACTGTTTTGGATTTTAAAGTGATAGCATTTTCATTCAGATTCCAGGGACCTAAGAATAGGCTCTGTTTGCCAAGGTGGGCAGGAACGTACAAGAGGCTGACAACAGGAAAGGCGACAGGTGGTGAGTGTATAAGTGTTCTCAGCTAGTGAATAGAGGAGCACAGCACAAAGAAAACAAAAATTGTGGGCAACTCACTCCAACATACAAACATCAATTAACTATAAACACAAAAATGTCACAATGGCCAGGGGCAACAGAGCATCACAGTCCACACAAAGAAGCAAGATAAAGCAGGAGAAACAAGGGACCAGGATACAGACCCAAAACACATCTCTGAGGAAGACGCATAATTGGAACTCGCTGATAAAGAATTCAAAAGAATTATATTTAGGTATCTTCAAAGGATTGAGAGACAGATCAAGGAAAACACAGATAAAATCCTAGAAGAATTTTGAAAGAAAATACAAGAACAAAATGACAAAATAAATGAAAAATTAGAAATGATTCATAATCTACAGATAGAAATCCAGAAGTTTAATAGTAAATTGTCAGAAATGGATAACACATTGAAAGGACAAAGGAGTAGAATTGATGCAATTGGAAGACAGAATTAATGAGATTGAAAAATACCTGAATACTGCCTTAGAAAGAGATCAATCAGAAAAAAGATCAAAACAAAGTGAAAAAAGCCTAAGGTTCATGTGGGATACCATCAAAAGATATAACCTACCTGTTATTGGAATTCCAGAACAGGAAGAGAAAAATAAAACCACTGAGAAAAATTGTTCAAGATTTGTTGGAGGAGAACTTCCCTGATGTGATCAAAGATGAGAATATATCCATTCAGGAAGTCCAATGAACCCTAAACAGGATAGACCCCAAAAGAAAATCAGCAAGACATATCATCAAACTCACCAAAACCAAAGACAAAGAAAGAATCATGAAAGTAGCCACGGGAAAAACAAAAAGCTACCTACAAAGGACAACCTATAAGACTAAGCTCCGATTTCTTGGCAGAAACCGTGCAGGTGAGAAGACAATGGGATGGTATATATAAAACCCTGAAAGAGAAAAATTTCCAGCCAAGAATTATGTACCCAGCAAAATTGTCCCTCAGATATGATGGTGAAATTAGGACATTTCCAGATAAGCAGAAATTAAGGGAATTTGTGAAAACTAGACCAACCTTACAAGATATGCTAAAGGGAGTCCTTTGGACAGAGAAGCAACAACAGCCAACAACAACTGACCATTAACACACATGATGATATAACCCAGAAACCAACCCAGCTATGGAAGTATCCAAAGTAAATAAGTCTACAAGATTGTAAACAGGGAACCAGAGACATCAATTGACAAATGAGGACAACTACAAACCAAAAAGAGGGAAAAAACTGTCATTACAGAACTTCTAGATGGTAGGGATGCCAAGACAACCACAAGATAGAATGGATTGTTCTAAACTTGGGAAGAAAATTATAAATCACAGGGTAACCTCAAAGAAAAATGATAAACCTTCACATCAAAATAAAAAAGAGGACCAGCACAAATATTTAGCAAATACTAAAACAATAGCAACAAAGGAAGTAATAACATGATTCATAAACAAAATGAACTCAGCATAAATAATTATATGGAACAAAGAAATAGACACCACGAAAAAACACATAACAAAAATGACAGCAACAAATTCATATTTGCCGATAACTACACATTTGGCAAGGGACTTACCTCTAAGATTTATAGAAAACTCCAATGATTCAACACCAAAGGAATTAACAATCCAATTGAAAAATGGGTGGAAGACATGAATAGACACTTCACCAAGGAGGATATTCAGGTGGCCAGCTAATACATGGAGAGATGCTCACAATCATTGACTATCAGAGAGATGCAAATCAAAACAACAATGAAATACCATCTCACCCCAGCACTGATGGCAAGGTTCAATGAGACAGGAAATAACAAATGCTGGTGGGGATGTGGAGAGATCGGGACTCTCATATACTGCTGGTGGGACTGTGAAGAGATACAACCACTGTGGAAAGCAATATGGTGATTGCTTAGAAAGCTGGAATTAGAGATACCATTTGACCCAGCAATCCTATTACTAGGTATATATCCTAGAGAGGTGAGAGCCAGGACAGGAACAGATACATGCATGCTCATGTTCATCGCAGCACTATTTACAATAGCAAAAAGATAGAAACAACCTACGTGCCCATCAGTGGAAGAGCGGTTGACCAAACTATGTATATACACATACTGGAATGCTATGCAGTACTAAAGAATAATGTGAGTCTGCATAACACTGCATAATATGGATGGTTTTAACTCAGAGGACATTATGCTGGGTGAAATAAGTCAGTCACAGAAGGACAAATATAGTATTTGTTTGTTGTTTTGGAGGGTCAAGGAAAGGTTTATATATGGAGGGATACTTTCTTTGTTGGTTGCCAGAGGTGGGAGAGGAGGGGAGGGAACACTGAAAAAAAAAGTGTATTGACCCATGTCACTTTAGTTTTGTGTATTTCACTGTACATAAATTATATTTCAATAAAATCCATTACAAAAAAAGATATGTAGAAACTTTGAGAAGATATAGGAAGTTACCCACATTTCTTACCCTGTGCTTCTCTGAATTCCCTAAATCAGCACCAAATGGAAAAAAAATTCTTGGTTTATTTTTATCATTGTGAGTGAATCTCTGGTAGCATAGTGCCTAAGGCACTTGACTGCTAACCAGAAAGCTGGTGGTTCAAACCCACCAGGGAAGTAAGGTTGGACAATCTACTTCTGTAGTGATACCACCTCGGAAACCCAAGGAGGGGTCACTATGAGTCGGGCCGACTGGACGTTACATAACAACAACAACAAGAGTGAATCAAGGCCAGCTTTTAGTGGTCAGGGGAAAATGGAATTGTTTTATGAATGGTAGCATAGTGCCTAAGGCACTTGACTGCTAACCAGAAGGCTGGCGGTTCAAACCCACCAGCCACTCCTCGGAAGGAAGGTTGGGCAATCCTACTTCCGTAGTGATACTGCCTCGGAAACCCAAGGAGGGGTCGCTATGAGTCGGGGCCGACTCGATGGCAAATAACAACAACACAACAGACAAAAGCAAAGAACTGAGACGCTTTTTTTTTAATTTTAATTTTTATTTTTTATGTTGTTGAAACACCAACAAAGAGGAACCCAGCTAACTGCATGTCATAATTTATTTTGTCATTAAAGGAGGAGTGTTCCCTCACACTGCCCACCACTGACTCAACTAAATGTGCTTAAAGATTGGGCAAGTTTCTGGTTTTCACTTGCAAATGCTGTTGAAGTGAATTCCAAATGTTCCTGATCTAAAGGTCTTTGGCATATATAGCATGGGCCCTTTCACAGAC